GGTGCAAGACCATTCAGGGATTTAAAAACTACATTTTAAAGTCAATTATAAAACCACAGGGAGCCAATGCAATGAGGACAGAACTGGAGTGATGTGCTGATGTTTATGGGATCTTGTGAGAACTCTAGCTGCAGTGTTTTGTTCTAGTTGAAGGCGATTCAGAGAACACTGGGGCAGCCCAGAAAATATACAGTTACAATAATCAAGATGACAAGACACAAAGGCATGAATAAGAGTTTCTGCATCAGTTAAAGAGATAGCTGCTCTAATTTTGGCAATATTCTTAATTTAAAAAAATGCTGTTTTATTGATGTTCTTAAAATGTAAAAAAAAAAAAACAAGATCAGAATCAAAGGTTACCCCAAAATTTCTGGCATCACGAGTGCAGTTAAAACCCAGAACAGAAAGGAACTGAACTACTAAATCCCTTTTGGCCTTGGGTCCAAATCACCTCAGTTTTATCGTTGTTGAGTGAAAGAAAATTATCTGACATCCAGGTTTTGATGTCTGTAAGGCAGATGGTAAGTTTATTGAGTGTGGAGAGGTCTGATGGGTTAATAGCCAAATAGATCTGGGAATTGTCTGCGTAAAAATGAAAGAAAAAAAAACATTGAATTTATGAATAACCTGACCAAGCGGTAGCATATAAATAGAAAATAATAGTGGCCCAAGAATAGACTCTTGGGGGACTCCACAGGTGAGAGAAGCTGAACTGGAGGAATTATTGCCAGAAATTACAGAAAAAGTTCTGTCATGAAGATAAGATTTGAACCACCTCAGAGCAATGTCTAACACCGAGCCAATAATTGAGTCGGCTCAATAGAATATTATGATCAACTGTATCAAACGCAGCAGAAAGATCTAGGAGCACTAAGACTGTACAACAGCCAGCATCTGAGTTCATCCTGCTATTTTTCACAACTTTTAATAATGCGGTTTCTGTACTGAGATATTGACGAAAGCCAGATTGAAACTTTTCAAAAAGTGAGTTTTTGTTTAAACAAGTTAAGATCTGAGAGTACAACACTTTCTCTAAAGTTTTCACAATAAAGGGTAATTTAGAGATCAGCCTAAAGTTGTTAAGATCGTTACAATCCAGGTTGGGTTTCTTCAGTAATGGTTCAACAGCAGCAGTTTGAAACATTTTGGGAACTACCCCTGTAGAAAATGATTTGTTAAAAACTGTTAGAATATCAGGAATTAAAAAGTGACAAATATCCTTTAAAAATGTTGTTGGTAAAACATCTAAAAAGAAGAGGAAGGTTTCATACAGTTGATAGTCCTTACTAACTCAGCCTGAGTTAAGAGGCTAAATGAACTGAAAGTGATTTACTTCCTCATGCTGAATA